AATAAATAAATAAATAAATAAATAAATAAATAAATAAATAAAAAGGGGGCCCGTGGAAAAAGGAGGAACGTCAGCCCTGGAGTCATAGCCACACCAAAGCTGGAAGCTTCCGCTGGAGGCTGCGGGCTGCTTAGGGCTGTGAGCCGTGAGCGAGTTACAGAACCTCTCCAAGCCTCAGTTTCTCATCTGGAACAGAGGCCTGCTCATCGGCTCCACAGTCCACTGTGAGGACACACGAGAGCCCACGTTCGGAGTGGCAGCCAGGCACATGGCTCTTCACAGACGCCCGGGGCTCTTGCCACTTCCTCTTCCCTCCTTGCCCCTCCCTCTCAGGACTTCCATTTCCACCAAACTGAAAAAGGGGGAGGTGAACTGCAACGGTTCCTATGGTATAGACCACCAATCCACTATTGGCGCGCGCCAGTCCCCAGTCACTTTTTACATCTCTAGTGACCTGATAGAGCTGGCGCGCGCCTCCTGCCTGACTCCCCTCGCCGTCTACACAACCAGAGACACGCCAGGCACACCAAAGAAACAGAAGTGCCCTAGGTGACACGCGCCCCAGGAACACAGCCTTCACAGGTTTTCAGGCGTCGTTCTGAGTTACACCTGTTTGTCATCCACACGGTGACATTTTTAGAATGAAAGCGTTTCCAAGACAACAGGTATCAACATCAACCAGGAAGGTCCTGGGAATCGGATGAATCCTCATCAAGCTCTCGGTCTCTTAGGGTAAAGAAGCCTTCTACCCTGGCATGCTCACACTCTTTGGGTCTCTGCTCAAGGGAGGAGTCCTGAGACCCCAGACCAGGCTCTCTGCTCCGGCTCTGACCGTCTGAACACCCCATGCTTTCTTGTCTCTTCACAATCGACTGCGACCCGTCCTCGCTCTGTCTCCTGTCTCTCACACACACCATGGACATCACAAGGCGCTCGGCGCCTCCCGCTGCCTGGCGTATAGTAGATGCTCCATGAATGATTGTGGGAGAGAGGACAGGTGAAAGCCCCAGCGAGAGGAAAACTGCAGACAGTAGGGGGTTAACGCAGCTGCAGGTGGAGGCCTGAAGTCCGCTTAGGAGTGGAGAAGAGAGCTATTGTTCCCTAGCAGGCAAGCCAGAGCAGGCTTCTTCTGCCCTCTCCCCACTCCCCCATGCACACCTTTCTACGGATGGCACCTGGTTGGCCAGGGAGCCGCCAGGGTTAACGCAGCTGCAGGTGGAGGCCTGAAGTCCGCTTAGGAGTGGAGAAGAGAGCTATTGTTCCCTAGCAGGCAAGCCAGAGCAGGCTTCTTCTGCCCTCTCCCCACTCCCCCATGCACACCTTTCTACGGATGGCACCTGGCCGCAGGTGAGAAGCTGAGAGGACAGTGAGTGCTTTGTTGAAAGGCTTTCCGAGTTGGAGTCTGCACCCAAAAAAGGGAAGGCAGTTCAGAGCCCTGCTGGGATGCTCCCTCCTCCCCTGGCTGCCACCCCCTCCCCAGGAGGGCCCACCTCAGCCGCAGCTTTCAGAGTAGGTCCCCTGTGCTCTCCAGCCAGCTGCCTGGGTGCCATCGCTTGTCACTTGACAATAGAGAAGGATGTTTCTCTCTTTTCCAGTTCAGATGAGCTTTCGAAGACGCTCTCTAGCTGTGATATAAATCCATTGAGAAAGCCCTGGAGGGAGCCCCTGCAAAGCCCTAAATTGGACACTAAAAACAGATAAAAGCCGATGGTTTAAAGGCTTTATGTGAGCTCCATTTGGGGGAAGGAATGAAAACAGGGATTTAGTTTGTTCTCTCCCACCAACACACTTTGGGCAGCTGGGGCCAGGGATTTCACATCTTTTGTGTCCCTTTCAGGTGGATCCGAGTGGCCAATGAGCCAGCACCAGAGGGGAGGGCCAGAACTCAGACAGCCTCAGAGGGGCCCTGCTTCTCCCCAACCCTTTCTGCAGCCCTGTCATCTCTGCTGGTGGCGCAGAGCTCAGCACCCGAATTTCAGAGGGGCAGACCCCAGCCCTGCCCAGCCTGACAACTGCCCACGGATTACCCAGGTCCAGGCTCATGGCGCTTCCTTCAGTCTAGCAGGTCAAGCCCTCACCCCGCTGCTTCGACCACTCAAGGTCCCAGGTCCCTAGCATGGGGCGGCGTGTTAACCCACACACCTGCCCGGACATGGCTTTCCTTCGTCCCACTCTCTTTTCTGGTCGCAACCCTGCAGCCAGAAAACTCAGAACTGGAGAGGGTGGAAAGATCAAAGTGAAACTTCCAGGAGGATTTTGGCCCGACACACAGCACCCGGGGCCATCTGGAGTGCCAGGGGCACACACAGCGCTGTAGACGCTCTTTGGGGTAAGGATGGGGAGTGCGGCTATTCCAGCCACATGGCCGTCTTTGCTCTCTCTGAGGGAGCATGGGGTGGGAGCGGCCTGCTGCTCGGCCCCTAACCCGGCGGTTCTCATCCTGCACATCAGTTACCCGGAAAGCATGTCTGTCCTGCCCTCCCTTTATCTCAGGCACAGGGCAGGCACGCAACTGGTAGTTGCTGAAGAATTGTTTCATTGTTATTTTTAGAAGATAATGTCTTCCATGAGCAAGAGACAGAGAGAGAGAGAGACAACACCCCCGACAAGGTCCTGGCATCTTAATCTACTCCCAGCCCTCAGCCAGCTTTAGATCATGGGTAAGCACCCACTTGGCACTCTCAGGGAGGCCTCTGGACTTGAACCATGGTCGTTTCCACGTGGGATTGGCCCACGGAGCATCACACTTTACGGCTGCACCACCATCTGACTGCAGAATTACTTACAGCTTAGGGAGGAGGCCTCGGCCAGAGTTGAGGGAGGACAGGAAGACTCCTTGGAGGAGGTAACCACTAACTTGAGAACTGGAGAGTACAGGGGATTGTCTACGGATTGTCTATGAGCACAGGCAGGACACCAGATGATGTCCTCGGAAGGAGAGGAAGCTACGCAGGAGACCCTGGGGAGCCAGCACTCTGCGTCTTGAAGACATGATGGTTGTGGGAGCTGCCGAGAGAGGGGACTGGGGTAGCAGCAAGACCTTCTAGTTCTGTGCTTCTCGCAGGCGAGCAGGCGTCGGAATCACCAAGGAGGCTTGTTAAATGCAGATGGCCCCCAACCCCCGCCAGGGTTTCTGATTCATTGTGTCTGTCCAGTCTGGGGCCTGAGAATTTGCATTTTTATTTATGTATTTCTTCCATGAGAGAGACAGAGAAAGAGAGAGAAACAGGAATCTTCAACAGGGCACTGTGCTGCGACCCAGCCACAGCCGCAGCCGCAGCCAGCCAGGATCAGGAGTGAGCTCCAGCGTGTGCAGGGAGGCCTCAGGACGTGAACCCAGGACCTTCCTGTGGTTTCAGCATCTCAGAGCACTGTGTTACCACCGCACCCCCACCGCTGGCCCAGCAGTCACCTTCCTGCCATCTCCCAGGCGATGCTGAGTGCTAGTGCCCTGCCGCGGGGTTCCAGGCCACGTGAGCAGTGAAGACCGGAAGAGAAAGGAGAACAAGGAAGCATTTCCGCGGAGGGGTGGTCAGTGCGCCTTTCGGAGATCCCACCTAGCTGCAAGTGTAAAGAGTGATTGTTGGGGAGCGAGAGGGTGCTGCCGGGAGCCACTGGGACCCTGGCAAGACCAAAAGCTTTCTGCTCTAGTTCAAGAGAGAGTTTTCTTTTGGAAGAGGACATTCCATAGGCCTCTTGCATTTGGGCACATCTTGTTGTTGACTGACTTTGTTACAATTTACTTTCGAGGATGTTTGTGTGGCGAACAGCCTTGGAAGATAGGGATAGTGTCTCTATGAGAAAAGGGAAAATTAGTGTAGTGTCCAGTATGAGGAATCTTCAAAAACCCTCATGAAAAATGCATGTTATTAAAAAATTCTAAGGGTTAGCAGGTGGCACGGCAGTTAAGGTACTGGACTCCCACATGGCCGACCATGGTTCAGAGTCCCGGACATGGCAACTTGCTTTTTTGCGCAGGGGCCATGCTAATCTTCTCTGTATCGTTCCAATTTTAGTATATGTGCTGCCGAAGCGAGCACACAACTTGCTTTTTTGCTTTCCTTCTCTCTGTCTCTCTCCGGTGAGAGCATGTGCCCTATAGCAAATTTAATAATAATAATAATAAATAAAATAATTCTTTTAAAAAACTTTATACATTAATCTAAAATAGTTTGTACCAAAACAAACTGACATTTTAGTTCCATTTCCCCACAAACTTTTTGAAGTCCCCTCATATGGCTTTCTTTCCATTATGAAAGATGCAGTTTTTCTCTCAGGATTTCTCTCCAGTAGCACCACTCACCCACTCCACGTACCTGATCCTCTTCTAGTCACCCTGTAGGAACCGCGGCTTGGAGAACCACACCAATGCTGGGACTCTGGCTACTGCTTCTGGTGCGAGTGATGAAGTCCTTTGTCTCTGATCCAGGAGTCTCATGTCTTCTGCCGGCCTCCAGGGAAAGGATGGCAGGTGAACCTGTCAGCTCGAGTAGAGTGAAATAGCAGACCCTTCGTGGTTCTGCACACCTACAGCAGCCCTCTGCCCCCTCCAGTGGCCTCTCCCAGCAGCCCCTTCTCTGAACACAAGACCATTTCAGGCCAGCCTCCAGTTCCTGTTCAGGAACATCTCTCCAGGGCTTTGCGGCAGTACTGCGGCACTCAACCTCCACGTTCATCCACGGCTGGGTTTTCCCTCTGAGCCTCCCAGCCCAAGGCCTCCAGGGAGCACTCAGGGAGCAGCCACGCCGTGCTGAGAAAGCTACTTGGGCTTTCACAGATCACACACATCACTGTATATGCTCCTCCCAGCGACACCATGGGGAGGGGTGACACAGTCCTCAGTCCCCAGACAGGGACACTGAGAGGCTCAGACACCAGATGCGTTAGCGGGACAGGACCATCTCCAGATGCTGTGCGTTTTTCCCAACACCACAGCTGCTGCTTGGTTTCATGTTTTAATGTCAGCTGAGCCAATTATGATTAGGTAGGTAAGACTTGATAGAAGTGTAAAAAAAAAAAAAAAGAAAAAAATTAGCAAAACTGGAGAGTGAGCGCTGGTTCAGAATGACATTAGCATTCATCATCCAGACTCCTGGACATTCACATATTTCCAGACCCAGCTTTTACCCAAGGCGAGGATCAGAGCAGGGGCTTGGTGGTGTATGCTGGAACATGGGCATGGTTACAGGTAGCAGGGGTTTCCCTTTGAACAGTCCAGAAGAAGGAACCATGCTTCCCAGGTGGGGAGGGGAGTGAGGGCTGAGGTTCACCCCAGGCAGCCTGGTTTGCTTTTGAATTGTAGATTGCCTGATTTGATTGGAAACTCAGAAGTCTAGCCAGGCCCCCTGCAGACCTATTTACGTGGAACTGTTCCCCTCTCTGAGATGAAACAAACAGAAGAGATTACCCAGCCGCCAGACTCTGCCCTTCACGTTGTAAAGCAGCTGCCAATGTCAAGCCAAAGCTGAGCATCTCGGGGCGAGGGGGTACTAGCACCCTGAACGGTTCCCTCTCCCCTACCATAAGCTCTCAGAACTTCCCTTTCCTGCCTCCAGTCTGTGTCAAGTCACATGAAACTTTTAACACCCACCTCCTGCTCAGCTCCGGTTCAGTCCCATCCCTTCTTTCTCCTCCACCACTTCCGTTTCATCTCTAAATGATCTAATATTAATGTTCTCATCATTACAGCGTTCGAGGGAAAGAACGGGTTTTGTCCACAGAGAGAGGGAGTTGAGAAATTAATATAATATTTGTTCAGGATTGATTTCAAGCTGTAATCCCTGCTGCCAGAGAGACCCATCTGTTTTAAACTATCAGACACTAATTATCCAGAGCGTGAACACAAAGGCAGGACTGAGGACCTGATACTCCCCCACACACTTGCAATTTAGCATTGTTATTTATTAGGGGAAAAAAAAAATTCTTAGAGAAGACGGATCTCCCATCCACTTGACTGGCAGAGGCTCCCAGAGGACTGAGCAGAAGAGGAAAGAAGCCCCTAGAATTTCTCCACCAAAGAATACCAGGAATTATTTTCATCTGGCTACAGAGGTTACATTTATTCCACATTCTTTCTCTCTAACTCAGTCTGGTCTCCCTACACAACCAGCTTTTTGGCGATTGTTAATAAAGACACCGTCATCTTCCGGTCAACCACGGTTGAAAGCAGAATCCCCTCAGAGTTCTCTCCTTCCTTTGTCCTCCTAAAATAATCCAGTGCCAGCTTTCATGAAGTCTTGCAATGTCATCACCGTTGACTCCGAGCCTTCATTTCCAAGGGAGACACCCAAGTACGGACTATAATCTGAGACAAGGACGTCCAGCTCCATCACCATCCCCTTCTGACCCATCGTACAGCGTCGAATCTCCCCTGCTTCCATGATCCCCCCAACAGAAGAGATGGAGGATGAGAAGGAGGAGGAGGACATGGAGGAAGAGGAAGAGGAGGAAGAGCAGCCACAACAGCATAGCTGATTAAATCATTCCCCTGTCCAGAAACCCTCCAAAGAACTGGATTTTTAACACCCTCCAAGCTCTGGCCTGAAGACACTTCCAGCCATCCGTCTGCCTAGTCTTTCCATTCTATAAATGCAGGACCTGGTCAAGGGGACTTCTCCAGTCTCTGCGCCCCAGGTGGACCCGCTTGCTCTCCTCCTTGGCTCAGAGCACTCTCACCATGAGGCCGTGCCCCGCTCCCATGCCCAGTCCTACTAAAAACCCTTCCTCCTCCCCCAGCCAGCACGCTCGCTCTTCCCTTCCTCCGCTCTCTGGGATCCATGAGTTCTGTTTGAAACACGCTTTCTGGCACCCGTTCATTGACTAACACTGTCATATTAGTTCTAATAGACTTCTGAAGTGGTAATCAATATTTCTGGAACTGAATCCGACACTGGGAATGGCGGCTCCCTAAATAGGCACGGTTCCTTCTTTTATCAAGAATGCTGTCTGGCGGGAAGGCAAACAGTACAGGAACAATTAGTTTAGCATTTATAAGAGCACAAACTGCTGCCAAGGAGGAATTTAGGGTGCTAATAGGGAAACATAATTAGATCAGGGCCGAGGAATGTCTCTATGAAAAAGCGATGCTTAAGATGCAGATTATCCAGAGAAAGAGAGAGATCATCGTAGTTTTATATTTTGGTCTGGAAGAAGTAACATAGATTAAGGCACCTTAGAGATCATACACAGGTTCTAGAAAGCTCCTTGTGGTGGTAGGATAGAGGATGGGTTCTATGGGAGGTGAAGGAGGGGTGGGAGTGGAGAAAGGGCAGGGAGACCAGCAAAATCGACTGTGTGTTTAGAGGGCTGGGGCCCTGAGCCAGGTTATAACAGCCTGACCTCCTCCAGGAGAGAAGGGGAGCTAGAAACTGAGTTTTATCACATGGTCAGTGATTCAGTTATTTATGATCTCGTCTATGGGGCCAATAGGTGGCATGATGGTTAAGGCACTGGACTCTCATATGGCTGGCTACAGTTTGAGTCCCAAGCCTGGCAGCTTGCTTTCTCACTTTTTCTCTCTCCTCTCTCTCTCTTTCTCTCTCTCTCTCTCTCTCTGTCTCTCTCTCTCTCTCTCATGAGTGCACTTGCCCTGTGGCAAATTTAAACAAAATAATAATAATGATAAATAAAATTGAATATTTCTTTAAAAAATAAAATGATTTTGTCTATGTGATGAAATCCTAGTCAAAACTCTGGACACCAAAGCTCAGTGTAATTTGCTGGTTGGTGAACATGGTGAGGTCCCAGGAGGGCAATGCATCCTGAATCCATGGGGAAAAGACATGGAAGCAGTTAGGACACTATGAGAAGCATTTAAATGTGAGGCAATAATGCCCCGGACTAGGCTGAAGGAGATCAATGGGGGAAAGACATGGAAGCAGTTAGGACACTATGATAAGCATTTAAATGTGAGGCGATAATGCCCCAGACTAGGCTGAAGGGGTGGGGCCAGGTTTCCGAGATGCTAAAGAAAGAATGACCAGACCTTAATTTCCAATACACTGTTGGAGGAAGAGAAAAACTCTAGAATAACTCTGAGTTTTCTGGGTTCTGGGTGGATGATTGTGCCACTAACCAACATAGACTATCTTAGGTCAGAAGAGGAATTCCATTTGGGATATACTGAATCTGAATGATTGGTGAGCTATTAGAGGGAACCTTCCAGCCTTTCCATAGGACCTACGATGGTGACACAATAACGTTATCGAGATTATAACTGACATATAATAAATTGCACATATTTAAAATACAGTGTGGTAGGTCCGGACATACCTGTGAAATGATCACCATGATCAAAATAGTGAATATAACCAACACTCCCAGAATGTTTCCCTCTGCCTTATTATAGTCTCTCCTACCTCTCATCATCTCCCCTTTCTAGGTAACCATTGATCTGTTGTCCACACTCTGTGTGTATGTATATATGTATGTGTGTGTGTGTGTGTGTGTGTGTGTATACATATATACATATATACACACACATATATATTTTACTATATAAGTGGCTTTTGTGTGTAGCTTCTTTCATTCAGCATAACTAACTTGAGGTCCATTCGTGTTGTCGCATGTTTCTTTAATTCATTCCTTTTTATTAATGAGTAATAGTCCATAGTCTCTGGATTGGCTTATTATAATTTGCTTATTTATTCATCTATTGATGAAAATTTGGGTCATTTTCAGCTGGTCCTTTTTATTAATGAGTAATAGTCCATAGTCCATGGATTGGTATAATTTGCTTCTTTATTCATCATTTGATGAAAATTTGGGTCATTTTCAGCTAAATAATTAAAAAAATAAAGCTGCTATGAACATCCTTATACAATTCTTTCATCTGGTTAAAAAAGAAAATCCATTTCTTTCTTTTTTTTTCTTGGAAAAATCCCTCAAGTAGAATGGCTGGATTATATATACTGTTTACAATACTGAAAAGCAATTCTGGCACTAACTACCCAACACAGACCCCACAGATTAGGCCATAGTTCCTCAAAAGGCTGGCCTCCCTTCAGAGAGCATCTGTTAAGCTTGAAGATCTCCTCCAGGT